TACCTTCATCGAAAAGTTCAAGAAACTTTATATTTAATCATTGTTTTGGTATGAGATGTACGAGAAAGTGTGAGTGAACAAGTGAAAAAGACAGAAGATTTTTAATAAAAATTATGTGCCTCGTGATATTAGGCGTGCCATTCCTAAAACCAAACGGACACCCTTTTGCTCGTGACTGATATAAAACTTGTTCTAAACTCCAGGTCTTTTTTTCTTTAGCGAATTGGCACATTGCTTGCTTATTTTGGTGTGGCTTGCGGACCCCTCGTCCCATGAGCCGAAATTGCTTTAGGCAATTTTTTATAGCTTGCCAAATCTATTTTCAAACCATATTTTTAGTGAACATCAATGGGAGACATTTTCGTTTACACATCAAAAGTCGGTGAATATATCTATCGATTCCTGTCATTTTTCTAGGTGGTCCGGATCTGTGCCTAACCAAAATAGGCGCAGTGGTCTTGGAGATCTTCCAGACATTATAAGGTAACAAGCAACGTTTTTTGCTCATCGTCAGTACTTCCTGTAAAAGCAATATAAATTGACGGAAGCCATGACTTTTTCATCTTGAGTTTTGAATCCATAGTTTTCTTTCTTTTAGACAGATTGACATTTCAAGGCAAGAGTGTCCAGTTTTCCCAGCTATGTAACCTATAACACCAGTCGGTGAAGATGTATTCATACCTACTCATAAGGCATTAGTGCAAAGCGAACTAAAGAGAATCTTGAGGGAATTGTACCCAGTACACCGAATTCACTATCAGTGCCACCTTCGATTAATTTTTTTTCACTCTAAACACAAAAGTGATACAACTCTTAACTGTTTTTTAACACACATATATATCCCCACTTTAGACCAAATTTGTATCGTGAATCAATTTTAGAGTCTAGACTTCAACATTAGCCATAGAACAATACAAAATCCAAGGAAGATGAGAGGGAAACAATCATTTTTTTATGAATGGATGACAAAGCGATGACGATAGATAGTTAAGTATTAATCTTTGCTTAGAACGACAAAAGAACAGGAAGTTAGGAAGAACCATGGTTACCAAAAATCCAAAGAGGTAAGGCACATTAAAATAATCATACCCTCTGCTAAAAAGATGTCATCAAAAGAATTTGATAAACGTTCCACATTCTGAGACTAGAAATTACAAGAAGGTGGTATTTAAACATAAAAAAAATTGACGTTAGTTATAGGAGCACAGGAGATACCTAAAATAATACTGATATACGTATTAAGGAGATCAGAACATTCATCTTTATCTAAAATACAGACCTATTGTCCCAAGCAAGGCAATAAAGCCACTAAGACGCAAGGGTCTGAGTGTGACTGGAGATGGGGAAAAGAAAGACATCCTTAAGTAGTCAGTTATGTGTCATGTGTGATACACGCTTAGACGATCATGTGTCTTTTGATGCATGACTGACGAGACAGATTTTTTCCCGCAGTAGGTTGCCATTTCTTTATATGGTAGAACAGTTGCCATCCAAGGCTATAGAACCAGGTCTGTCCTGCTATTTTACCAGGAGCTGGTTGGGGGAGGGAGAAGAAGAGGATTCATACCTTTCCTAAAGGTATTAGCACGTAAGTGAATGTAATGGATTTGACTAGAATTCGAACTCGACTCTCCGATTCCTCAATCCGAGCCGCTATCTATTACTGCACCGTGACTCCTTTTATTGATTATGCAGAAAGAACAATAAAAGAACAGGTATTAAGAAGATATAAGATAACGGTGGACACTGCATTGCTACTTTGAAATGATGAGACCTAGCTGCTACTCTAGTAATGCACTTAAATTCAAAACTTTAACTTCCAAAATGGAAAACTCATAAAAACAATTACCATTAAAATATTACGTTACGGCGGTGGAAACGTGAATGAAACCGAGATACCAGGTCAGGACCGATAACATTGCAGATTCTTCTTTGGATTTTATCAAGAATTTCTAAAGACGTAGCACAAGCACCAAATCAGATATGACAGAATTATCCAATATATGGACGAATGATAAAATGTGTAAGACAGATTCCGACGAGGCAATGAATGAACTTTCCTAGCAGCGGACCTAGCAATTGATTACGTATAATCTTTTACCTTCATATGAGTAGAAATCATTAGCACGAGAAGGGGCAATGAGTCAGCCAATTATTATTATTATTATTATTATTATTATTATTGTTATTATTATTATTATTATTATTATTATTTCCTTTGGTTTCTGGTGTGTACTTATTTCTTTCCGGGTCCTGCCCAGTGAACCTAACGTCAGAAATGGCATCATGACATTTTTTACTGAACAATTAAAAAACAATAAAAAACAAAAAAATACCACATATTTTACATAGATAAAGCCCTTTGTAAGGTGTGGGCTGTACTCGTGAGAATAATTTTTAGTATTTCTTTAAGACATGGCCTACCTGGAATCCCTTCAATGAGTCTATTGGAATATTTTCTAACCAATCCGTGAATTCCAAATACAACAGTTGACAATTGTTGATGTTCTCATGCACTACATTTTGAGATTTTGATTTCAAGGTTTTTATATTTGCATTTTCTTCTTCTTCTTCTTCTTCTTCTTCTTATTATTATTATTATTAGGAAAAAAACTTCATTTACCTTCGGTCTTAGATAAAAGACTCATGTATCAACCATGCAATCAAACGAAATAAACATCACCACCACCAATAATAATAATAATAATAATAATAATTGTTAAGATTATTCTCTTGGTTTTACCTCCCTACGTAATACTGAGAGTGTAGTTAAAGTATATTTTCATTGTTTTGTCACACGTCACGTTACGATCTTTGCGTTCGTTGATAAATCAATAATAACAAATTCATTTTTATAGTCATTAAGCGAGATGTGCATACAATTTCAGTCATTGAAGAGGATCGGGGAATTGAAAAACATAACCAGTTACCAGATTTGAGTGTTTAGCTAACCATCTTGCTAGGGTAGGTGTCCTTAATAACCTTTGCTTTCTTTGACAGATTGTTGCAATTATCTGGTATTCAGCTATATTAGAAGAAGAAGAAGAAGAAGAAGAAGAAGAAGAAGAAGAAGAAATCATCCTCAGTAAAAGAAGAATAAAAAGAAAAAGCAGGAGGAAAAAAAGAACATAGAGCAAAAGAAAAACGGCAGTCACAACAACAACAAAAAAAGAAGAAAAGAAGAAGAAGAAAAAGCGGCAGCTGCAAAAGAAGAAGAAGAAAATAAGCAGCAGTTGAAGAAAACTTAAGAGCAGAAGGAAAATAGGAGATAAAAAAAAAAAGAAAAAACAACAGCAGCAACAGAAGAAGAAGAATTAGAAGAAAAAGTAGAAGAAAAAAAAGCAACAGCAGCAAAAGAAGAAGTAGAGAAAGTAGAGGAAAAAAAAAGCAGCAACACCAAAAGAAAAGAAAAGAAGAAAAAACAGCAGCAGCAAAAGAAGAATTAGAAGAAAAAGCAGAAAAAAGGAAAACAAAAACAGTAAAAGAAGAAGAAAAAGTAGACGAAAAAGAAAAAGCAACAGCAGCAAAAGAAGTATAAGAAGAATTAGAAGAAAAAGTAGGAGAAAAGGAAAAAACAGTAGCAGCAGCAAAGAAGAAGAAGAAGAAGAAGAAGTAGCAGCAGCAAAAGAAGAAGAAGAAGACAAAGAAGAAAAATTAGTTTTGCTAAGGATTTATCATAATGGATACTACTAAAAAATAGTAAAAAAAAAGCTGGGGACAGTTCACATGACCATCATCAGACGCTCATATCCTCCATATTGGAATTATCACCAATGTCTTTTACAATCATTAAATACTAATATTACCACTATTGAATTAATTGGTTGAGGCTCTTCTCTGAAAAAATGTCTTCATTCAGAAAGATACATCATATGATTTACTTGGATTGTCTTTGTATTACATAATAAATTTGTCTATAGTAAACATGCGTACAATTTTCCTTTCTACCCAATTTGAACCCACATCTTTGTCTGTTCCCGTGCACTATTAAAACACTGAAAATATATCTGCTTCAAGTCTCAAAGAAAAGTTATTTTAAGAAATCCTTTATGAATTCCTGTCTTCCGTTTCTCTCAGTTCTTTCTTACTCAATGACTCATTAGATGAATTTTCGTTCTGGTGTGTTTCTACCAAAATAACGACGCCTCTTACAATACGATAAAAATACACTCCTTCGACAATATGTAGATATAATTCTTTCTCAGACTTGCAAACTCATCACTTAACACTGTGCACTGAATAAGACTATTTTAAACACTTCGATAACCTCTGCTGATGGTGTTCAACTGTACATCATAATGTTTTCCTTTCAGCCGTTTGAACATAGAAAAATACAATTATGATTCAAATCTATCCATATTTCAAGTACATTCTCTATATCAATTATAGGTTCTTTTCATTTCTTTGCAAGTATAAATTATTTTAACAAGGTTTAAATTTAGTGGAGAGTGGACGAAAAATTGGTAAGGAGGACTTAACACATTATTATCAAGATATAAGTAAACAGGTTTCTTTTCTTATTGAGTTTCTATATACTTTTTATTGTCCAATCATCAATTTTTAAAATGGACGCATAAAAATAAAATTATCAGAAGTCTTATATTAATCCTAGTTCGCATTTTTTTAAAAAAAAACTATCTTGAGAGAATATGACTTAAATCTTAGTAGAAATGCCTAAAACTAATTCTGCCGTATAAAATGCCTGAAGTGCTGCGTTGGTATTTCAATATAAAAAAACAAATAATTTCAGTGCTCAAAATAAACTGATTAATCTGTTTTTTACGGTTTATCAACATTCTGTATGTTATTTAAAGCTAAAAATGTTTTTGGAGATAATAATTATTTAGTAATAAAATTCCTACTAATTAACCCATAGTTGGGGGAGAAGAGGTGGTTTCCTACCTTTTGGAATAATTACGAACCCAACTGGAATTGCATTTCCACTCTCTGAGTTGCAATTCTGAGCGGTTATCTACCACATCACGCACACACCCAAACTTACAACATCTGCTATTTTCCTAATCGATCACCCATCCAGGTATTGACCAGGATCGACATTGCTTAACTTCGGCGATCGGATGAGAGCCGGTGTTTCAACGTGATAAGCCTCAAAAGTAAAAGCTACACTAAATTATGAGACTATAAATTGTTTAAAAACGGCTAAAATTCTGATGTTTTGCTCTCTGAAGAAATACAAATGTTTTCTTTCATGTTTACAACCAATCTATGAATGAAATGTTCATTTAAATAGTGAATATATCCTTACTTTGCGAAACCTGCTAGTTATGATATATATATATATATATATATATATATATATATATATATATATATATATAGCAGTATAACCCGTCTTTGACAGGGTCTTTCATTACTGGGAATTTTTGTCGTTTATTTGGAGCAGTTTAAGTTTAAAGTCAGCCCACCCGAAAATCAATATTAGTAACAACATTTGGATGCAACTGAGGCACATCCCCAAATGGGAGGCGGGGTTAACAATTTGAATGGGGGGTGGTGGCCCTGGAAAGGGAACTGTATAATAATTTATTCTTTATTAAAGTTTTCATGAAAGATACATATCCAAGAACAGCTAGTAAATATTAAAACGTTGAGAGTTTTAATGGACAGGAAGTAGTGGAGAGCCATTGTCGCCAACAATTTGGACAGAAACTGAAGAATTATCTATCAAACAAATAAAATTATCAAAATCGAGTAAAAACACACATTTTTGGAATTATGGATATAGATCACATTTCTATTGATACAACCAACTGAAACACACAAAATCCAGTCCCCAAAGGGATATGCACAGATGTCACCAAGGTCGACGTCACTCTTGTTGATGATCTTTATGACCTCTTTCATGTCTACATGCAAAAAGTGAGTGCTGATGAACTACAAAGAGACCAGTTCATACTATAGTACCACAGTTCACAGTAAGAACCAAATTCTAACTCTCTGCTATCCTCTTCACTATTAACTATGTACACACATACATTCACACAACATTTCATCGTTTCTCACATACATGCACAAATACAATTGATATTCTATTCCAGAACTTTATTAACTAAAACAAAAAGACATTACTTTCTAATCTATAACTAACTGTTTGTATTCTTGTCATTATATTAATGTTTCTTTGTTGAAACTACGTTGTCTTTTTCTACTGGATTTTATTCTTTCAATGAAAATCATGAGAATATTCTAAACTTTTATCAGTTATTACAAATCTGTACACTTTAAGATATAAGTAAACAAATATATTTTCTTATTGAGTATGAATACACTTTTCTATTGGCTAATCATCAATTAAAGAATAAAATTATCAAAACTTGTGATAATCACAATTGTCATATTTCTATTTAAAAAAAAAAAAGAATTTTGAAATGATGATTCACATTTTTGTAGCAATGTCTAAAACAAAAATCTCAGGAAAAAATGCCTAAAATTTTTATTTTAATGGCGAGGCGGGGGGGATCAGTATCGAGTAAAAGTTACACTAAAATATGAGACCATAAACTGAATGTTTTGATTAGCTTCTGCAATCTTTTATAAATTATGAAATTAAAAGTTCAATAGTCCTCAGTTGAAATACAGTCTTTTTGCCTAAGATTAAATTTGGGGGGGGGGTAATGCATTTGCTGTCATACTTTTTAAGCTTTAATAACATTTTTAGACATTTTGTCAATAATATAAATAAAAAGAGTAAGTAAAAATGAAATTTACAATAAAATGATAATTTATGATCAGAGAGTGTCGTAAAACAGCCAGCAGGAATTCATTTGTGAGGGTAAATCAATAAAAACGTATTTTAATCTGAAATTTTTCAATTATCACATTTGGTATTAAAACAGTGGCGATAACCTTTTCACTAACATTTAATTGACATGATTTAAGATAAAAAATGAGATGTATCAGTTGATATATTATGTAAGAAGTGTACAAACACATTAACAACAAAATTTATATTTAAACTCTTTCTTTCTCCATCTCACCCCATATATATATATATATATATATATATATATATATATATATATATATATATATATATATATATATATATATATATATATATATATATATATATATGAAATAACGATATATATTTTATATATCAAGATCAATAATGGAAAAAAGTTTTCTTGAGCTGCATTTTGAGGACTTCATCGTCCTTTATGTTGATGCGATTACACATGCCCACGAACGAGAGATGCTGGGAATTTAATGTTTTTATTTTTCATTTTATTATATATATATATATATATATATATATATATATATATATATATATATATATATGCGAGTGTGTGTGTGTGTGTGAGTGTGTGTGTCTGCTAAGTATTTTGGCAGCAAAACCTCTTTTATACAAGTTTAATTAAAAGTGACTAACGATTAAGCTTTTTATTCAATTTTTCTTGTGTTCGTACAAGTGTTTTCTTTGCTGGACACAAAGTTATGCATATATTTGTGTCCAACCAAACACTTGAATAAATATATAAAAAGCTTAATCGTAATATCTTGTCAGTCGTCTTTAACGAATCTTGTATATATATATATATATATATATATATATATATATATATATATATGCGCGTGTGTCTGTGTATTTGTGTGTGTGTGTGTGTGTATACAAGTTAAAAATTCAAACTGAGCACAGTATAAGGTAAGGGTTTTGGCATCGATTTACATTCAGTGCTTGAATTTTTTTACATTATTTTCCTAGTGAGAAGACTGAATACTCAAAAAAGGGGGTTCAAGCAAGTTCTAGGACTAAATATATGAGGCTCAGCAACTTGAAATGAAAATATTACTTCATTTCAATATTGTACCACATAACTATACCAGAAAGCTCAATAGTGAAGTAATTTTCAGTTGATTTTTTTTTTCTCTTTCATTAGCATTTTGAAATGAACTAATGATTTCCTTGCTGCATCTTTTATACATGCAAAGAGTTAAATCTGTAAAAAGGAAGGATTCTCAAAATTTTTATTACTGTAAAAAAGGTATAGAAATATAAAAATATTACTAGCAAAACTTATAAAGTTAAGAAAATAATTTTTAATTAAATACAATATAGTCATTTGCTTAAAATATGACTATTAGTGAGAGTTATACCAAGTTGGTATTTCAGATTTTCAAAAATTGAACATAATAGAAGTAATTCTTGGTTGATTTATATGCAGTTTTTATCCCCAAAACATGACCTTTTTTGCAGGAAATGTACTTTTATATGAAATTTTCATGTTTGGAAATATAGAGCAAATAAAGCTTTTTTTTTTTTTATTTCCTTTGAGATACTCCACTTAAATTGAATGAGAATTAAATGGTAAATTTTGTAATTTCTAAACAATTTTTTTTTTTTTTTTTTAATCACTTTAGATCAGTGGTTCACAAACAGGTGATGTGGAATGATAGAAAGAATGATTTAGAAACAGTTTCAAAAAATTCATAAGCCAAAAATAAATGATTTCAAAATATAAAATATTATCATGGATTACTTGTAATTGCATGCATGAGTCCAGTGTAAATATTTATAAATAATTAGTGACTGATTTTATCATTGTGATATTTTTGCATTATATCAAGTATTAAGAATATAGTAACTAGGCTCCGCAAATTGGAGGAGAGAGTTATCAATGATAATGTTCTGACTGAATCCGCAGTTATCTCCCTTTAACCCTCTCTCTGGCCTTTCTTTGCCATAGGGCTACTGGCACCTTTTCTCTGGAACTTTCTTTTGGTGAGGCACAAGCAAATTTTCATTCTGAAAATGCAGCCCATAGAAAAAAAATGTTTGGGAACAACTGCTTTAGATGTTCAAAAAACAATGTTATCAATTACAGTCATATTTCATTCTAGAATTACGAATACGACTCAACCAGGACATGTCAACTATTATAGGATAAAATGAAATGTACATACTGGACAACATACCAACTCCATTTTGTACATACATCGGTCTAAATACCATAGTTAATAAAAACATAACTACTTTACAGTATTGTACAATTATTATGTCAAGTAATTTCCGCATCTGAAACTAGGCTCAACTATTTGTCACGATCATCATCCAATTTAAATTAGAATTAAAAGTGTATTCCACCATCTATATTACAAGCAAATTCTCCACATCAGAGTTTCTTTAATTATTACAGATTTCATTGGTGCAGCTCCTTTAATAACCTTGTAATTTTCATCAGATTCAAGTTTTCTTCACCCATCAGAAGCCATTGTAGATTTTCAGATCTCATCCAATGAAATATACATAAATAAAAGACCACACAGAACAGCATTCCATGCTGGATAGCATTTCATATGCAGAGACTATAAGAAGAAAAAAAAAAGAAGAGTTATATGGTAATGTGTACTTTATTCAGAGAGTACACCTTAATGCTATAACACTAAAACATATGTACATATATTATAGATTTCAATTACATACATGTACTGTACAATAAGTAAGAGGTACACTGTATCATTACATGGCCGGTAGCACAATCATTTTGAACCCATGTGTCAGATACTTGATACATCAAATTTTAAGCTGATATTTTTTAAAGCCCTTATAGGGAAGGACATATCTGATTGTATATATTAGCTGGTTAGATATGTCAAAAAAAATCAGCTTAATTTTATTGATATTACTTTTATAGTCACATGGATAAGATTATTATTTCATAAGTTTATAACTATCTTGTTTCTATCTAATAGACGACCATTTATAGACATGATACATTGCAATATTGCAGCATGTGGAACTCATTCTCCACCCATTTGAAACTAGGCTCAAATATTTGCCGTGATCAGAATTCCAATTTAGATAAGCATCAAAAAATGTATTCCGCCATTTATTTTCTTCTTCTATGTGCCGTGTCCCTTCAGGACGTGGGTGGCCATGGTTCTTCTCTGCAACTTCCTATCCTTTTTAGCTCTTCGTAAAATTTGTCTTTTGCTATTTTTCCTTACATCTGTTCAGCTAACTTTGTCCAGAGGATCGTTAGATAACTTATGCGCTGATTTTCTCTTGCCTTCAACATGCCCTGTGAGCATCAAATTTTCTAAGCCCTCTTTCTTCATTGTGTGCTATAGAAA